TTTTTCCGAGGCAGGGTTTCTCTGTGGCTTTGGAGGCTGTACTGGAACTAGCTCTTGTAGACCAGGCTGGTCTCGAACTCACAGAGATTTGCCTGCCTCTGCCTCCCCAGTGCTGGGATCAAAGGGTGTACCACCACCACCTGGCTTGATTCATATGAAAACTCTGTTGGAATTATTTTCAGGAATGGAGACAAAAAAATACTAAAGGTAGAGAATGTGCAAGAATACCAAATGTCCAAAATTGTGAAAACAATAAATAAACCAAAAAGTATAAATTTTCAATCATTTCATCATATGTTAAAATGATTTCAATAAACATTATTCAATAATGGTATGAAAACCTGGTCAGTGGTGTGAATGAATAAGGACAGTATCACTCACATGCATAGTCAAGTAAGACTCCATTATCAATTCTGAAGAAAGTCTACTCCTGAGGAGATTGTTCTCCTCAGAACTATTGCTAGTGAAACACAATGTGGCAAAACAAATTTCATGTCCCACTTCTTCCTTCCATTGATCACTTTCCACTCTCTAACCAATCCCTCCACCATACCTGCATCCTTAGCTTCTGTCTCCTCTCTCCTTCCAGGTCTCCTCTGCTCTGCTGCACAGGTGAGCAGGTCTCGGTGATCAGTGAACCCTGCACATGAGCAAGAGATTGTTTAGAAGCCCCTGGATTTCTCACACAGTACTGTGCTCAGCAGATGAAGAGAAAACTATCCTGACTGTCATGCAGTGTCACAATACTGGTAATATTTAGGAAGCATTTGTAGTTGGCATCTCTTGAATCCTGCTTCCAATCACACCTCAGTCAAAACTCAGCGGCAGAAATGGTACTGGATGATTAGGGAGAGAATATTATACACTGGTGAGGTTCTGAATTTATCGTGATGGTGCCTTACATCTCCCAAAGGGACACACAAGAAGAGAGAACATTTCATGAAAATTTCCTTTTTTTCCTTTGAGGATTTCATTTATTCTGTGGGATGTGAGACTCATTCACACAAAGCTCACACACTTGCCAATTAGTTTCTCAAGAAATACTGTGGAGGAGCAAGGGAGACGACAAGCAAAAATTCTCAGCCACAGAAACCATACTGCTGCAACTCTGCAACATCCACTCCGGTACAAAGGCCTCGGGGGAGGGTCCAGGCATTGCCACTCCTCCTGGGAGAAGTCCGAAGTTACAACACTGTCAACAGACCACAGAAATAAAAACAACATTTGAACACTCATGTTGGTGCACAAGTTTAATCCAAGCACTTGGGAGACAGAAGTTGGTGAAATTTGGTGTTTTCCAGTCCAGTGTGGTCTACCTGGTGAGCCAGACAGAGTAATGCTAGAGGTCACGCCTCAGACACAGCAAACACCACAATCAAAACACAACAGTTTCATCATGTGTCCATGGACAGAGTGCTTTCTTGGACCACAGAGGGAAATGAATCTGACATTTTTCTGATATGGATGAGTTATCGTAATTATTCAAACCATGCTAACATCATTCTATACTCGAATGCATTTACATTTGTTTTGTTGTTTTCTATTTTCCTCTGAAACAGGGTCTTTGTGTGCAGTGCTAACTGTCCTTGAAGTCACTATGTACACCTTAGCAGCCTCCATCTTATTTGGATGTACCTGCCTCAGCCTTCTCTGAGTGTTGGGTTTAAAGGAGGGTGGTGGTGGTGGTGGTGGTGCACACCTTTAATCCAAGCACTCCGGTGGCTCAGGCAGGCAGATCTCTGAGTTCGAGGCCAGCCTAGCCTACAGTTCTAGGACAGCCAGCGCTACATAGAGAAATCCTATCTTACACCAGGCCTGGCAAAGACAATGTTCAGAATGCTGTCTGAGCCTCACAGGGTTCATATGTCTCAGACGGAAAATTGGTATTGGATATAAGTATGCTTTTAAAAGTTTATATTTACCAGTACACTGTGGGCCTCGAAACAAACAAATTTTCAGGCATTCCTTGACTACAATCTACAAGCTCTCTGCGAATCCAAGTCTCAAGGTAAATGTGCCACGCTTTTG